TTGCAAGCTAGTACGTTGGGATGGACGCTATTTTATTTTCATTTTTATACTCACTTTTTAATTTTTTTTTTTTTTTTTTTTTTGTTTAATACCATAGAGATGATTGGGGACATTTTGGAATGGCCCCTACAGCCACCTGTAAAAGCAATCCAGCGTCTAATTAGCTGCTAGGATGGTTTTTACATAAAAGAATCACCTGCAGCAACAACAATACCACGATGATGCCTGTAGCTGCTTTTGAAAGCACTGAAAGTCCAGGACATCATAGGTCCTTCGGGCTGGAATTGGATAAAGTGGTTTTAAACTAAAACAAAAATTTTATGTATTGCAGCTTACCAATCTTTTGATGTGGTGGCTATATTTTCTTTTTAGGCTGCTTTCCCTTTAATTTATCCTAGTGATCTAGCCAGTAACACAATTTGGCAGGGAACCCCATAACAGGTAAGTATAACATGTTGTTTTAGGAAAAAAAATACTTTACAACAGCTTTAATACTGCTTTAAGCTCTAATCCTACAACTGTGCTTATGCTTGCAGGGGGCATCTTGGAAAAATATCAGTCTGTTGTAGACCAAAGTATGCAATTCCTCACTGCCAGTTTTCACTCTTAATTGTAACAGAATGGAAAGCTGCAGCAGGAGGTTGAGTTGTGAGACAATTGTAAACACCCAAGAACATGGGTTACTACACAGGAGGTGGTATTTACATGATTGTTCCATGCACTAGATTTGACTTTAGATACCTGAGCAAAGATGGAACTGGCCTCTTGGTAGGAAAGGCAGAGTTGGGGATCATGCTGTAATTTGGGTATTACATATATATTGATAAAAATAAGACACTAAGAATAAGTGCCCCACTAACTGTGCAGCTTCATTATCACAAGGTAGCTTTAATTGCGTTAGAGTTCAACTACATTTAATCACTTAATACTGTAAAGACTGTTAGTGGAACTAGACTATATATTTAATCCTTATGCTGCTAGCATCAGTAGATATATAGGAACGTATATTTACTTGTGTTTAAACTTCTTCTTTAAATTTTTTTTTTTTTCCTTTTTACATTTACCATATTTTCCGGCGTATAAGACGACTTTTCACACTAAAAAAAAATCCCCCAAAAATCGGGGGTCGTCTTATACGCTGGGTATACGCCGGAAAACTGTCCATCCCGGGTGCTGAGATAATATGGAGGGCACATCTTTAACATCCCCAAGTGAAAGATTGGCAATAATTCATTTATTTAATCAATAAATAATTATCCTGCTGGATGTAGCTTCTTTATCTTTGGCTGGATGTACCGCTGGAAGCCCTATGTCTCTGTGCTGACACTGTCCCGCACTGAGCCAATCACGGCAAGCCTGCTCGGATTGGTAAAGGTTGAATAGACCGCCTCTCTAACTCAGCCAATCCGAGCAGGCTTTTTATGCATATGAATTATGAATACACCGCTTGCCGTGATTGGCTCAGCGCAGTTCATACAGTGTCAGCAGAGGGAAGTTCTGTAGCCGAAGCCACAGTATTATAGAGCACATCCAGCGGCTTCAAAAGGTAAATACGATCTTATATTCTGTATGTAGCCGAATCTACAAGCATATCCAGTGGGCTAAAATGTAATAATGGGGACATTATGTACAGTATGTTTATACACTTCTAGTAAAAAGCCTGCTAAGGTTGGCCAGAGTCAGAGAAGCAGTCTCTATTACAACCTTTGCCAATCCAAGCAGGCTTGTTGTGATTGGCCTTCCATTTATTAATTTATGTTATGTTAGAAAAATGTCATTCAATAAAAAATGTATTTTAAAAAAAAAAACTGGTGTTGCCTCGAAAATGGGAGGTAGTCTTATACAGCGAGTATAGGCCAAAACCTATGTTTTAACTGTAAAATTAGGGGGTTGTCTTATACGCCAGAAACTACGTACTTAGGTTCTTACTGGTTTCTGGCTTAGGTCAAAATGTCATACATCCTATGAGTCTTCATGGGAATTTTTTTCCCTTCATCTGGAAGAGGGGCTTGCTTAGCTAAGTATGCCCTCCTGCCTGCATGCCTTGGCTAAGGGCAGATGGATTTCAGGAAGTAGATGCCACATGAATCCTCCTGTCCTTTAAGATGGCCACCGCTGAATTGCTGAAGGGGGGTGGTGTCTTTCAAAGTGATTTCTCAAAAAAAAAAAAAAAAAAGCATTGAAGCATGGGTGAATGAGTTTGCCTTGAATAATAAAAATGAATTAAATAGCATTCTCAGTTTGTGGTGCTCAGATGCAGTTAAGTTCTGCTTTAAACTGTAAAAAGGGAATATTCCTTGTAATGCCTTATTTTGGAGAAGAAAAAAACAATCTATATAATTTTGTAGTAGTATGCACTGTGAAGTTTATATAGGAATGCCATGCATGCAACATGGTATGTTCCAGGTTACCACTTTCCAATAAAGAGAAAAAAAGCAGAGCTTTCTTTATTGCTCATTCAGTAGTAAATAACAGCAATGTTTCAGGTATCCCTGCCCTTTTATCAGGCCACAGATAAACAATAAATAGCACGTGTATCTGGATTGCATTGCTGTGAATTTATTATTGAATAAGTAATCTGTCTCTCTGCTGCAACCCCTACTTGTGTGTGTGTGGTTATACAAGTGCATCTCTCAAGTTAGAATATCATCAAAAAGTTAATTTTTCAGTAATTCAATTCAAAAAGTGAAATGCATATATTATATAGATTCATTACACACAGAGGTGATATATTGCAAGCATTTCTTTCTTTTAATTTTGATTGTGACTTACAGCTAGTAAGTAAAAACCCAAAAATCCGTATCCCAGAAAATGTTTAATATTCTATAAGACCAATAAAGGATTTTTAATACAGAAATATTGGCTTACTGAAAAGTATGTCAATGTACAGTATAGCATGCACTCAATACTTGGTCAGGGCTCGATCAGCCTGTGGCACTGATCAGGTGTCATGAAAGTCCAGGTTGCTTTGATAGTGGCCTTCAGCTTGTCTGCCTTGTTGGGTCTGGTGTCTCATCTTCCTCTTGACAATACCTGACAGATTCTGAGGCTTAGGTCAGGCCTGTGTGATGGCCAATCAAGCACAGTGATGCCATGATGATCAAACTAGGTATTGGTACTTTTGGCAGTGTGGGCAGGTGCCAAGGCCTGCTGGAAAATTAAATCAGCATCTCCATAAAGTTGGTCAGCAGAGGGAAGCGTGAAGTGCTCTAGAATTTCCTGGTAGAGGGCTGCCCTGATTTTGGACTTGATAAAACACAGTGGACCAACACCAGCAGATGACATGGCTCCCCAAATCATCGCTGACTGGAAACTTCACACTGAACCTCATGCATTCTGTGCCTTGCCACTCTTCCTTCACACTCTTGAGACCTTGGTGCAACAGTCCAGTCCTTTTTCTCCTTGGCCCAGGTAAGACACTTCTGATACTGTCTCTGGTTCAGGAGTGGCTTAACACAAGGAATGCAAAAGTTGTAGCCCATGTCCTGGATACGTCTGTGTGGTGGCTCTTGAAGCACGGACACCAGCCGTAGTCTACCCCTTATGAATCTCCTCCAAATTCTTGAATGGCTTTTGCTTCACAATCCTCTCAAATCTGCGGTTATCCCTGTTGCTTGTGCACCTTTTTCTACCATGCTTTGTTTTCTTCCACTCAACTTTTCATTAATACTCTTGGATGCAACACTCTGTGAACAGCCAGCTCTAACAATGGCCTTTTGTGACTTTCCCTCCTTGTGGAGGGTGTCAATGATTGCCTTCTGGACAACTGTCAGGTCGACCGTCTTCCCCATGATTGTGTAACCTACTGAACCAGACTGAGAGACCATTTAAAGGCTCAGGAAACCTTTACAGGTGTTTTTGAGTTAATGAGCTGATTAGATTGTGACACCGTCCATATAATATTGAACGTTTTCACAATATTCTGAGATACTGAATTTTGGGTTTTCTGTAAGCCATAATCAAAATTAAAAGATATGCTTGAAATATTACTGAGTATAATGAATTTGAGTTTCACGTTTTGAATTGAATTACTGAAATAGATGAACTTTTTAATGATATTCTAATTTGAGATGCACCTGTAGATCCATTATTTGTGTTCATTTTGAAACCTTTATATTTGAAATTGGTAATAATGTAAAGGCCTCGTGTTTTATCAACCTGTAACTGATTTAGTAGTTCAGTTAATCAAATTGAATGCAGTTGTCCTCTGCAACCAGACATGGTCTTTTCTTCCCATATTAGTTAGAGGTTGGTTTGCTTGGCAATGCAATACCCAGAGTGTTGCAATTCATAAATAAGTTTGAATGTTTTTTTTTTTTTTCCATGTAATTCGAATCTACAGCATTTAGTGCAGCTTCACACAATAAATGGGATGTATGGAAATTACGTCATTGCATTGTCACAAGTGAAATCTGCTTTATTTTCAAACCTCTTGAAAACTAGTGTTTGGTTATTGAAGGAGGCAGCAACTCCTTGCCATTTCCCCCAGCTTTGTAGAATATTCCAGCTTGTCCAGTTACAAAATCCATGCCCGATGCTGTAGAATCAACCATGCAACTTACTTAAAAGTAAACCTGCCATTGCAGAAACATCTGCTACTCTTGGCACCTTCTGAAAATGCCTGTCGGTCATACTGACCCTCTTGCCGAAATACTTTAAGTCACTAAGACAAAACAAGCATGTGATGAAAATTTGACTTTCCTGAACTGAATACTGGTCCAGGATCAGACTGTCAACAGTGGCCTCCCCATATTCCTCCAGCCAAAGGTCAGCTTTGGGAGATGAAAGGGCAGTCCACCTTAACTCTTATCTTATCCAAACTACTGACATTAAAGATTTGCATACAAAGCCTTTCAGTACAGCGGGCAACCAGTTTATTTTTTCGGGGTTGCCTGAAATATCTGCATGACCACAGAGTTCTACGTTTTATATAGAAAGCAGGACATATCTTTTAATCAGACATCTTATCAATGACAATCTATTTCTTGTTTTCTGTTTAGGTTCATGCAATTCCCCTGCGCTCTTCTTGGGTGATGACCTGTGCATATGCCCCATCTGGAAACTATGTGGCCTGCGGTGGTCTTGATAACATTTGTTCAATTTACAACCTGAAAACCCGTGAAGGAAATGTGCGAGTGAGCCGTGAGTTGGCTGGACACACAGGTGAGTTTGTTGAATCAACTTCAGACATAAAGCGTAGCTAGAGGATAGTGATTTAACTCTGGAGGAGGGAAAGTGTGGGGACAAATGTGCATTTGTTCACATTTTCATAGCAGTTGCCTTCCAAAAACAAAGTTATTCTTTGAAGAAAAAGCATTCCTCCTCTGGGTGATCTGTGTACATGGCAAGGATGTTTAATAAACTTTGTTGCACATTCCTACCTTTTTGTTCTGAAGAAATAGTTGTTTGTGTCCATGTGCAAAGTGAATGGGAGTGACTTTATAATTCTCAATCAGCTGCTGCACTTGCAGGGTTCTAATGAGGAAAGTGGCAGGGTCTGCACCCCTTTAGACATGATTTACCTTTTGGGTGGTGTCTTTTATAGTAAAGCAACATGTGCTAGGCCTTTTAAAGGAGAACTAAACTTACCTAATGGTCTGGGTTCTGTGTCGGCACCCTCTCCCCGGGTGTTTGGGCATCTCTGTTGGAGAGTGCAGGATGCAGTAACCCCTGTGCAGGAGTCAGTCATCCAGGTATACAGGGACTGTGCTGGTAATGTAAGCTGAGCATGCGCAGTTCAGTTTACATGCCACAGATGACAGCAGGCAGGTTTTATTTTATCTCAAGAGACATTGCTGGTCTCTTCTGCAAGAATACTCTGCTTGCAGTCTTTTCTAAAAAGCCTTCAATTCTGCAGGAAGGATTGGTGTACCTGCTTAATGTATCCAAGGTGGTGTCCTCCTCCTTAAATGTATTTGTAAAGTAAAAGGATTCGATTAATGTGCCTTCCTCTGTTACAACTAGTATAAGTAAGCTGCATCCTCTGGCCACACTAAAGTCTGTTTTAGGATATTTTAACATCCTCCCACTCAGGAATGGCATTGTCAGGTAATTTCTATGCTGCCGAGAGAGGAACTGTTTGTTCAACACAGGGTGCCCTCAGAAGTTGGTCAAACTCTGGGACCCATGGCTGACACATTCTCCTTGGTAACGCAACAATTTCATTAGTGAAATAAACATGGGTCTTTGGCAAACTAGCAATTTATGAAATCAGGGTATCTAGGTAAACATACTCTAAACTTGCTCGATGGGGTGTGGGAAAGTAGCCGAGATTAAAAAATGGGCCTGCCATGTGACGGGCATTGGTTTTAGGCCTCATACAGACTGATTAAAAATGCCACTTATACGTCATTCGTAGCACCTCTGTTAGCCTGTATGGCCATGCACACACCGGCACTTGCAGAGCTATTTACAGAGGAGTGTTGTTTACAGGCCAAAAAAACCCCCATCAAAGGCACATTCTGAGAGGAGCATTTCAGCAGAAAAAAAACAAACCTAATCATGTGTGTAAATGTATTCCAGTGGCCAGAATGCAATGTGATCAAGCTTTTTTTTTTTTACTGTTCCCCAACTGCTTACTCTAAGCTGCCACAACAACAAAATGGGGGTACACATGCATAAACTATTCCCGCTGTTGTGACACATTGAGGTGAATGGGGCATTGTTGCAGGTTTTTAGAGGGTAAAATAAGCGGTAAAGCTGTCAAATACCCTCTGAAAAGTAGTCCACCACCGATCCCTTTTCAGAGGGGAACACATGTAAGCATAAGGTCTAAGGGTCTACTCTTTTGCTGGTGTTAAACTGTTGGTTGGCAGCAACTGCCCTATACCAGTGGTCGGCAAGCCGCGGCTCGCGAGCCACATGCGGCTCTTTACAGACTTTAATGCGGCTCTTCTGTGTGCTGGGCGCCCGCTCCCCTCCCCTCCTCTCTCGGGCGGCCGCCCCAAAAGTCAGGACTCTGCAGCTAGCCCAGCAATGGGCAAACTACGGCCCGCGGGCCGTATACGGCCCGGCGGACCTTTTAATCCGGCCCGCGGAGCGTGGCAAACATTGGCTGTCAGGATGTAGGGGGGCAGCGTGACGAACTCCTCTCCTCTCACAGTCCGCCCTGAAGACCGGAACGGCGCGGGAACACGGCGAGAGGAACGCGCGGAGCAAAGGTAAGTAAATTGACACAATTTGGGGAATGAATTACTATATGGGGGATGAATTACTATATGGGGGATGAATTACTATATGGGGGATGAATTACTATATGGGGGATGAATTTACTATATGGGGAATGAATTGCTATATTGAATTACTATATGGGGGATGAATTACTATATGGGGGATGAATTACTATAGGGGGGATGAATTACTATATGGGGGATGAATTACTATATGGGGGATGAATTGCTATAGGGGGGATTTACTATAGGGGGGGATGAATTACTAAAAATGAATTGCTATGGGGGATGAATTACTATAGGGGGGATGAATTACTATATGGGGGATGTATTTTTAGTTTTAAAAATTGGCTCTCAAAATTAAATTTCAATCGTGGTTTTTGGCGAGATTTGGCTCAGTTGAAAAAAAAGGTTGCCCACCACTGCCTTATACCATTTCATCTTATGTGTTTCTTTCTAGTACTAATGCTCTGAAACTGGTCAGACTATAAACTATGAATGCATTCTAAAGACAACATTATTCACCAAATGGGGATACAAAATGTCAGTTCAAATGGAACGTAAATATGCCATGTTTTGACATTTGTTTTTTTTCTTTCTTTCTTTTTTTACAGGCTACCTGTCCTGCTGTCGCTTCTTGGATGATAACCAAATTATTACCAGCTCTGGAGACACCACTTGGTAAGTAGACTTTGCTTAAAGTGCAGCTTCTCTTTAGAATTTTTTCCCCTTTTGCGTGTTTGGATCCAAAAATGATACACAAGGTATACATATTATGATTTTAGAAAAAACACAATTCCAATAAATCCTTTAAAAGAGAAGTTTTGCTTTAGAAAAAAAAAAAAAATTATACTCACCTTGGTGGATGCAGCTTCTGTCCCTGCCGGCTCTGCAGTGAGAATTGAGTGATCAAACACCACTGACCACTTCTCACCTTCCACGCAGAGAGCTGTAACTGTCATTCTCCATTTCTCTGGTCTGCTCCTCCAGCGCTCACTGGAGTACTGCGCCATGGATGGTGCGGGATGTCCTTTAAGAGCCCTTCCACACTTATGCTTTTCTGATGCGTTCCCTTTGACTTACAAAGGAAGGTGCCTTTTTGTTTCTCTTTTGAAAAACTGCACCAAAGATGCTGCATTCAAGTGTGTACCTGCAGTGTGAACAGTTACATAGGATTTAGTGGGGAATAGTTTTCATGCACTTTTGTCACACTGGAAAAGCAGGGCAAAAGCACACCAGTTTGAAATGGTCCTAACTGCTGCTTGTACATTCACTTTATAACATTGTTTTTGATCATGCCTTTCCTTGTTATGACTTGCCACTCTGCTGTATCCCCCTGGACCCACTTTTTGTTTTCTTTTTTTAAATGTTTGGCTTATTTGTTTACACAAGTAGCTCCTGCATGCAGTTATAATAGCTGCTGGAATCATCATTGTAACCTTTCTAATGTCCACTCATGCACAGTGCAGCTTACAGCTACCTCATGACATGCAGTGCATGCTGTGAGTTTTTTTCCCCCCTCTGTTATCAGATTCATATAGCTCAACACAAAGGTTTGGACGAATAAGCTATATTGAAGGTAAATTAATATAGAGACTAAAGTCTAAACTGCAAAGATCACTTGCTGTGTCTGCATTTACTGTACATGTAGTTCAGCACTCTATTTACATGTTTTCTTTCTGCTTGCAGCGCCCTGTGGGACATTGAAACTGGCCAGCAGACAACCACCTTCACTGGACACACCGGGGATGTAATGAGCCTGTCCCTTGCTCCAGATTCCCGGTGCTTTGTGTCTGGGGCCTGTGATGCCTCAGCCAAACTTTGGGACATCCGAGAAGGAATGTGCCGACAGACTTTTACCGGACACGAGTCTGACATAAATGCTATCTGTGTAAGTTTTATGCCTCCAAAGCCCTCAGCATACCTTCCAAATTTTTGGAATGATAGAGGGACACCTTTTTGCACACAGTATATAGACAAAGGACACATACCTGCAATGCTCTAGTTATGCAGACTACAAATTGGCTGAACCCAAGTGCTTTTTTTTTTACTTTTTTTCTCTTCTGTTTTGCATAATACGATGATTGGGCTCTGAGGTTAGATTTTGGAAGAATTTGCAGTCAGGTTATGTTCAAGGTTGTTGAATGACAGTTGAGCTTGACATACCCAACAATGCCTTTCACTGTGGCAGCATTAAGGCAAGGCAATTGGCTGCAAGGCCTGGCACTGTATTTTTGGATGTGTTCACGTGCTCTAAGCATTTATAAATATTTCGGGCAGCACAGTGGCTAAATGGTTAGCATTTCCGCCAGGCAGTACTAGGGTCGTTGGTTCGAATCCCAACTATGGCACCACCTGCCTGGAGTTTGCATGTTCTCCCTGTGCCTGCATGGGTTTCCTCCGGGTACTCTGGTTTCCTCCCACTTGCCAAAGACATGCTGGTAGGTTATTTGGCCCTAGTATGTGTATGTGACTTAGGAACTTAGATTGTACTCCCTTGAGGATTAGGGCCTGATGTTAATCTACAATATATATGTAGAGCGCTGCCTAAAATGACGGCGCTATACAAGTACCTCAAATACATTTCTAGTTTCGCCCTAAATCATCCTTTGAGTTCACCATTTCTTATTGCCTGTTTTATAAATTTATAAGCAGTAAAGTGAAACTTTTTTTTTTCCTTTTCTCCTCCCCAGTTCTTCCCCAATGGTAATGCTTTTGCCACTGGATCAGATGATGCCACTTGCAGGCTGTTTGACCTCCGTGCAGACCAGGAGCTGATGGTCTATTCTCATGACAACATCATCTGTGGCATCACTTCAGTAGCATTCTCCAAAGAGTGGACGCCTCCTTTTAGCCGGATATGATGATTTTAACTGCAACGTCTGGGATACACTTAAGGCTGACAGAGCAGGTAGCTATGATGATAAATTTATTTATTTTGTATGCAGCCATTTGCTGACGGCGATATACCACCTCCTTTTTATGTTATAGGACCTCAAGTGTCTGACAATATGGCACTGGCTTTTTTTCATGTGGTTATGATTTGAGGATCCTTATTTTGTATGCAACATGTAGTAAACCTTGCATTCAAGGATTTCTAAAAGTTTAGTGACTAGATCAGACCTGGACAGATCTCACCCAGAACTAAGAGCCAGCACTATGCAACCTATGTTTTGTGAAGGGGATCAAATACTTATTTCCCTCACGAACATGTAAATCAGTGCATAATTTGTTAGACATGCATTTCTTTTGATTTTTTTGTTGCTATTCTGTCTGTTTACAATACACCTACCATTTGATTTTTAGACTGATCTTTTCTTTGTGAGTGGGCAAACATTCAAAATCATCAGGGGATCAAATACTTATTTCCTTCACTGTACATATGTACTGAAAGATACAGCGGTAGAGATTTACTAAATCTGGAGCACTCAATCTTTCACCTGTGCATGGTAGCCAATTGGCTTCTAACTTCAGCTTGTTCAGTTAAGCTTTGACAGTAAAACCTGGAAGCTGATTGGTTTCTATTAGGGGTGCACCGAAATTTCGGTGGCCAAAATGTTTCGGGCAAAAACACCCCTAATGGCCGATATGAAATTAAGCACTGATACAGGTGCTGATAACCCCACCCCTTCACTGGCACCCGCCTGCCGCCGCTTGGTAGTTCTCAGCCTTACTTGAGAAACCACTGAACGATCCCGTGCTGGGCATAGAAATAAGTGAAGGAAAGATGGCCTCCGATCATCTCTATGCCGTTTTGAGGACTGAAGCGATGCCACTTCCTGTTCCGACGCCTTGTAAACAAGGCCATATTATTATTTTTTTTTTTTTTTAAAGCACTAGATAAATGCTTTTTTGATCTAATGCTTAACATTGTAGAGGAGAGATGTGGGGTCTTACTAACCCCATATCTCTCCATAAAGAGGTCCTGTCACTGTTTCTATCACAGGGGATGCATGCATTCCTTGTGATAGGAATAAAAGTGATTACATTTTTTTTTTGGTTTTTTAAAGGAACAGTGTAAAAACAAATTTTATTTTTGTAAATAAGTTAAACGTCATCTGACTCCCCCCACCCCCACCCCTTTTTTTCGGTTTGGGCACCACTAGTTTCCATGCAGAGCTGCACCAGATTTTGCACCATGCAGTTTTAGCAAATAACCCCCACATAGTTAAGGCCTGTTCACACCATTGTGGGTTGTGTAGAGTTATAATGCATGACCTTGACCCAAAACACTAACCCTGGCACAGACCTAGATCAAACCTTGATCTAGGTATTGTTTTTTTTTTTTTTTTTTTTTTTTTATTTATTTTTACATATACTTTTTTTTTTTCTCTGAAAGGACAGAGAGATGCAATGTACAATGTCCTCTATTCAGAGAGAGAAAACAGGGGGGGCGGTCTTCACAGTGACTGATCACTATGATAGCCAGTCGGAGGCAATCACAGCGATCAGGTGACCCAGAATCTGGGTCCTGATTGTTAGAACATGCTGTGTTCCCAGCAGAATGACAGGTACGTAAATTAGCGGCCCCACGGAAAAAAGCCCAGTTCAGCTAATTTGTGTACAGTCGGTGTCAAGGGGTTCATGAGTAATACCCATATTTTGTTTTGTGTTTTAAATTTTACAACTGTTCATGTAAGTAATGTAGGCATTAGTAAAGCTTAGCAGCTGTTGTACCATGACGAGGGGGAGGTCCTTTTTTTGTTTTTATTTCTCCTCTACAGGACAACCAATAAAGTAGTTCCCTCAAAACCGTAATAAAGCTTTGTCTAACGCTAGATGAATCGATATCTCCGATAGGTGAAGTGGAGGAGAAGGAGCACCGCTTGCATGACTAGCAAGTGATTGTTGGTTTACTTGGGCTCTTACTGGGGCGGTTTAATCTGGAGCTGCGTGTTAGTAGTTGGACTGTAACCCTGACATCACTCTGTTGCTGAGATATGACTTGTATACTCGTGTAGTGAAGCTGAAAGGTGTTTGCTCTCAGGAAGTGTAGATTGGTTTCTGAAAATGTGTTTTGAGTGAACAAAGAGCACAATGTTATCTCCTCTACATGAAGTGATGAGACTTTTGCAGAGGATAAATGTGACAGCTGACCCGAGGGCCTTATGTGTAGATGATATCAGGTTTTAGACATGTTTGACAACTTTAACATTGAGGCAGGACAGTGTGATTGTATACAGTATTCTTGCCTCATTTTATGTTCTACAAAAGTGCTGCTTGTGCCGTATCTAAAGTTCCTACAATATCTGCAGCACTTAAGGCATTCTGTGGTACCTGAGTGTAACGTTAGTCATTGAATTAGTCCCTGTGGAGCTCAGGCTGTTGGTAGGACCTGGAATTCTCTCCAAGTTTAAAGTTCAGCCCTACTGTTTTGTGCACTTATCTACTTCCTACGAGGATCAGCTGTTGCATACCTTGGAAGGCAGTGGAGACTCTGACATTTGATGGTAGAGTAAATGATGTGGGGGAAGTCAAGGTGAAGAGGGGCAAACCTTAAAGCGGCATTAAACCCAAAAGCAAACATTTATTATATTGTAGTTTACCAATTCTTAGATGTGATGGCTGAGTTCTGTTTCTTTTCAAGGCGTTTTTTTTTTTTTTTTTTTTTTTTTTTTTTTTAAACAGACTTACTGGCCAGATCACCAGGTTAAAATAAAGGAAAGAACTGCTCTAGGCAGCAAAAACTAGAACCACAGATGTTAACTCACATAAACTTTCCAGCTTCTTGCAAAAGTGACCCATGCTTTTCTGCACATGTGCCATTTCCTTTCACCAGGCAATGGGCAGAAGGAACAATGGCTGGTCCTGGCACTACAGAAAATTAGAGGTCTCACAGTTTGCCATTCTTCGGAACGCATCTGCTAGTGTGGCAAGCCTTAAAGTAAAATTGCAGTTTCAATATCACTTCACAAAACACCTTGATTGATCAAGGTTGAGAAATGGGCAGAGATGTCACAATTTCCACCTCATCCACTCAGAGTAAATACACACAGAGTATCAGACAAATAATTGTTTTTGTTTTTCTTTTTTTGTTTTTTGTTTTTTTTTATGGTGCAACTGACCTACTCTAATGAAAGTATGCGTAAGAAATGTTAAATGAACAAAAAGTTTGAATTAAAAATTTACATTTTTTTTTTAAACATACTGTCACTAGTGTCCTGGATCACCACCACACTAGTTATATAATGACGCTGTACTGCACTGGGGATAGTATGTTGAGACAAAATGTGAAAAATAAAATTTCTTCATTTTCAAAACAATTGTGACAATTACAACTTCAAAAGACTTGAAGTGCTTCTTAGTAAATGCCTCAGACTGTCTACTTTCCTAAAAGGGTTCATTTGAGGGGTAAATGTACTATCTTTGCAATTTAGGGCCTCAAGAAATGAGGCTGTCAGAAGCATCAGAATCGTTAAATTTTTAAGTATACTATAGTTTGTAGACTATAGTTTTCACGCAAACCAATTAATATACACATATTGGGATTATTTTTTTTTTTACCAAAGACGTAGCAGAATTAATTTTGGCCTTGATATGACAAAATTTGATTTTATTGGATATGTTTTATAACAAAGTAAAAAAAATATTTTTTTTGGGGGTTTTTTTTTTTTCCGTTATCGCAAAGAATAAAAAACCCAGTGGTGATCAGATACCATCAAAAGAAAGCTCTGTGCATGAAAAAAAAAAAACTCATTTGCGTACTGCATTGCATTATCATGCAATAGCCAGTTAAAATAGTGCAGTGCTGTGTAGCAAAAAATGTCCTAGTCATGAAGGGGGTAAAATCTACCAGAGCTCAAGCGGTTGATTACAGAAGTTGCCTGCACTGCTGCCAGGACTACTAGCTGTATGTAGTTAATACTACTACAGTATATTACAGTGGCTGCATCATTCTGTACTGGTTCATTTGGGTAAGCTTTGCCCAAGCAAACTATTTAAAAAATATATTAAAGATGGAGTTATATTTTACTGTAAACCTTTCAACTGTTCTGATAACTTAGGGAGAAATTTAACCTCTTCACGCCGGCCGAACGCAAATGTGCGGACTCCCAGTGTCTGGGCCTAGACACCGAGCAGCCGCACATTTTCTTTCTTTTAAAAAGACATATGTGCTGAGAGCGCGCGCCCTTTCACAGAAAGGTCCCGATCTCCTCTTTCGATCGAAACCTTTCCCAATCATGTGACGACGTGTCATGGCGGTCACATTACCCTAAACCCCGCCTCCCGGCTTCTGAAACCCTTAAAGGTCCGGGAGGCGCCGGTGCAAAGGGTTTGAAAATAAAAAAAAGACTGTTCAAATTAAGCATGGGATACTCATGGGGAGTGGATTGTTCAGGCATTAAGCTTATGCAGTGTAATGTTTGCGTGAAATGCATCAGATTCTTTCCATTGTGAATTTTGAGCCCACACTGATTGGGGCGATCTTTGTGTCTCTTATCTCTGCTTATCACAAATACATAGATTGGACAATTCTTATCCGGATGTGAGGCACAGGCCATTTCATGTTGTAATAGTTTACACACTGTACATTGTGGGGCGGTTGCTCAGCCATTTTTGAGTGTGCCAATTATTCCATGTATGGCTACCTTGTCATTTTGATTTTTCCTTTTCCCTAGTAAGGTGCGAGACCCTCTCAGAGCTCTTTGTCTACACAAATGTGGTCTGGAATAGCTTCCAGCAGTTTGACCAGCTGTTAGTGCAGCAAGCCTTGTGATGGCATTATGAATTATTTAGGCCATCAAGGCTACTCATGCATTTCTAATACCGTCTACTGTAGCGCTCAGCAGACAGTGTGTTAATGTCTTAACCTTTTCAAGCCATGCCAAGCTCACCCGCTACCTTGTATTTCTTTCAAGGTGTCCTTGCTGGTCACGATAACCGTGTAAGTTGCTTGGGAGTGACAGATGATGGGATGGCTGTGGCGACAGGATCATGGGACAGCTTCCTCAAGATCTGGAACTAAAGTCTGTGAGTATCAGCTACAGCCTTGCACCTCTTCATAGTATTAATCTGCCGTGACATGTTTACTTCCTTCCAACAAGTGGAGTTGAATGTTTAGTAAACAGCACACATTTCTTTAAACTTCTCTCTGATTCCTGGCAAATGTAGTTTATCATGAAACCCTTCTTTGTCAGACTTTATAAATAGTGGAGGCTATGGAGAAGTGCCAGCATCTAACAAATGTTAAGCCAGAATAGATTTGCTTATGATTTCACAATGCATACAGTACATTGAAAGCACAAACATTGTGGCGGAAGACATGACTTCTGGCCTAAGTTCTTTACTAGAACATAGAATGAGTTGCCATTACCGCCTGGGATTTATCTTTCTATCCAGGACAATCTCTTTTCACTGTTATTTTGTAACTCCACTTTGTAGGAAGGGAATTTATGGATTGCAGATCAGCTTCATAGAAATATTAACATTTATTATTCTGCCAAAAACTCTTTTTTAGGTACCCTGACCTATAGTAAACTGCAGTGTAATGTTGCACTGCTAAGTGATATTGAAGTTTCACTTTAATATAAGAAACATGTCATACTTACCTGCTATATGCAATGGTTTTGCACAGCTCCGATATCCCTCTTCTCTGGTCCCTCGCTGGTGCTCCTTGGCCAATGTACATTTTACATTTTGTATCCCATGCTTTAAGACATATAGCATTCACATCTAATGCCCCTGACACTTTGATTATTTTCAGGCAGCCTGGAACATAAATCTTTAAAAACAAGTTAGCAGTGGCAGCTCCTATACTTAAATCCCAATAAGTTTTTTTTTTTTTTGTTTTTTTTTTAAGAATGAAGTTTGAGTTCAATTTTGTTATACCCCGTAAAGTTCACCGAAGGGTAAAAAAAAATTGCATAACAATTATGTAACCATTCTCTATGCAAAGATGAAGTGGAAACCTCCAGAAAGTTTCCTTTTTTTAAAGGGAAGTTCATGCCCCTCAGTCATCTCTGATGTGGTCTCTGAGTGCATTGGCAGAGCAAGTCATTTAGTACGTCGACATAAGCAGTAGTGGTGCACCGAAATTAAAATTCTGGACCGAAACCAAAAATTCACGATGCACTTGGCTGAAAACTGATATCTGCAGTTTTTAAACCATATATATTTTTTATTTATAGAATTGTATTATATTTGATTTTTTAATATCTTGAATTTAAAAAATACAATTCAGTAATGTAAAATAACTTTTATTGAAAGTAGCACTCAAAAATTGGACAGAAAATAAAATATATAAAAAAAATGAAAAAACTTAAATGAAGACATTTTTGCATTGAAGTCGGTGGGTCGTGATTTTTCATTGAAGTCAATTATCATGATAGATGAGTTCCCCCTCCTATCAACAAAGTACGAATAACCCTATAATCATTTTCGGTGGCCAATATATTGGTGCATCACTTTTAAGTAGTATATTGATGGAAGATCTTATTCCCAATGCTTTTATACCAGAGGGATGTGGGATTTTCCTTTTTTGGTTAACCTCTTTCTGTATATGCGGCTTCGTGGCAGGTGGGCTTTAACGCCGAGAGGCTGCATATATGTGGCCTCATGTAAACCGTTTTCTGTGCTCAGAGTGTGTGCCCAACACGCTCCCAGCACCATTACCAGCGGGGATGGGAAAGCTCCCAATGCATACTTGCGATCAGAAGGTTTCCGATCATGTGACCGCCAATCACAGCAGTCACATTGGAATGCCTGCTCTGCCTCCTGGCAATTTAGAACCTCTTAAAGGGATGGGAGGTGGCAGCGGGAAAGGGGTTAAAACAGAAGCCATGTATAGTTTAACTTTTCATCACCACGAAGGTTTTTTTTTTTTTTTTTTTTTTTTTTCAATTTTAGGTTAAAAAAAAATCTTGTTTTTCTTATAGCTATTGTCTTACAAGTAAGTACATATAGGATTGACCCCCCCCCCCCCCCCTTTCTGGCCCTGGTCTGCAGAAGCTAAAAAATGCTGGATTAGAATCCCCAGCAGGCTTTGCAAATGGACTGTCTTGGCTCCTGTTGTAACAAACATTAAATATTGTACTTTGATATAAAAATGTTTTTAAACTTGTAAATGAAACTAGAAGCCATTTTAGTTTTCTTTTTTTTAAATGTTTTTTCCCCCCCTCCCTCTAGATACCCAGCGGACTTCTCCATGACTGGAAGAGCATTCCAACCTTCGAAATTTTAAATCATAGCATATCCGATCCAACCATACTAACGTGGACACCCACTTATCCCTACTCCCATACATCAAAGGGCAGAACCTCTCCTCTCATTATTTTTTTTTTCTGAAACCAAGAGCACAATTATTTGCTATAGGAAGAATTGTTTTGTGGTTCTGAAACCAAGAATTGTGCATTCCTTTTGGGACCATTTTGTTTTTTGTTTTGTTTTTTTTCTTCACCTTCATTTGTCTTGAAGTAATGATACAAAACACTATGCGCAGTACGATATAACCAAGAAATAGCTGTATTGATAAAGTCCATTTCATGATTGTTAACCTGAAGGTTCTAGAACAGTGTCTGGTTTTTTTCTTTTTTCTTTTTTTTTCTTTTTTTTTTTTTTTAAGTTGGATGTTGATGGCAGTTGCTGTGAAAATTGCAGCTGTACAGAGATTGTAAAAAAAATCAGAACAGTTAACTTTTTCTTTCTTCTTTTTTTTTTTTATACTTTTACACTTTATCCCTCTATGGTCCATTAAGTGAAGGTGGGATGTGATAGACCTGTGTTTCAGGGCCTTTTAATGCTATAAACTGTCCCTGTCTTGTCTTGTGAATCTGTTGCAGATACAGAACCATGTGAACATTAAAGAAGCGTATTAGCCATCCACAAGCCCTCCATGTAATGGTCATCCTATAGTATGAGGAAAAATCGACGCCTAACTAGGTTGCTCCAGTAATTGAGTTACTTTTGAGCACCGACTGCTCGGGGGAAATGTAGTAACCCAATACCTGGAGTGCCTTTCGGTTACCTCTGTCATCTGAGAGTTATGGCTGTTGGGGAAGCAATGCAACAGATGCCACTTGGGAGCGTTGGAAGGACTTTGTTAAACCATGTACAGTTCTTTATACCACCGATGCCAGTGAACTGTCTTCTGATCTCTATGAATGCATCTACACCACGCCACCTTCTCTTCCTGCACACACAACAAATACACACCACAATATTAGAACTCCTTCAGGGATCGAGAGCATGCTAGATTGTAGAGCAATGTCCAGTTCAGCCTTTGCTATTGAGGGTAACCCATAAATAACTTGTTTCTTTATTGGGGTGAAACAATTTTTTTTTTTCCAGATCAAAACTGGCGACATTCATATTATCTTATACACACCTTTACCGGTTGGTACCGCAAGCTCCTATTTGAGTGCTATGTACTGCTAGATAGGGATCTAGTTTACTTGGTGCTGTATACTGTTGCCAGTTAGGAATTAATAAAAAAAAATATATATATATATATATTTTTTTTTTTTGTCCTTCACTGTTCAACCCATGTCAAATCCTTTATTCATGTAGGCCTGAACCATTGAAACTCGAATCCCCTTGTAAGTTCAGTTAACACTGGGAAACTATTAACAAAGAAAAACAGAAAGGGTATCTCACAAGAACACTACCCTTGTCCCACATAGCTAGATTAGGAGCAGCCGTGGACAGAAGTACATGTCTGTACTTTTTGGATATACGGTCAGATGTGTATGAAATGATGTACAAATTAATGTTTTTGAAAATAATGATCTTGAACTTTCTAAGTTAAAACTTAATGAAAGCTTTTATTCTTATGTTGGCGGCGGGGAGGGGGGGGGGGTGTTTGCCATAGGGATGGGTTTTCCTCTTAAGATTGCATGCTGTAGAGTTGCTTAATAATGTGCAAATAGAGAGTCATTAGATGTTTTCGTTTATTTTTTTTTTCCTTTTAATGAAAAATAACCTGTTTAAACAGAAAAAATTAAATGACAATTGCGGTTGTGCTCAATTTTTTTTTTTATAATCACAGCTACTCTCTGTATACGTTTTCGAAAAAAAAAAAAGTTCAGTGCAAAAAAAGTGCACTTTGAAGAGTAGCTCAATTTCACTTTTTTTAACAAAAAAAAACATCCTGTTCAAACGATTGCATACAAAAACAAAAAAATCGATTTTTTTCAGGAAGGGTTGGGAAATGTGAAATTAAACTTTTACCCTGGTTTAAGTTGATGCTTCTCAGCCTGTTCTTGTAGAAAGAGGATCTTGCATCTGATTTTTGTTCTTCCAGGAATAGCTTCCCCTTGCTATTTTTTTTTTTTTTTTTTCCAGGTTTTTTTTCTTTTCCCAGGTTTTTTTCTCTTTGAATTAAGCATTGCCTCTTGACTTTTCTGCAGAGACCTGTACACTGATGCACAGGAACTGACCCCTCTGTTCCGCAGGTCTTTGTATTGAGAGAAGCGGACTATTAATTTTATTAGCTTCTTCCTAATTGTATATGAACGTTACTCAACCTTAGCCGTAGACGCTTTTTATTTTTATTTTTTTTTCTTTCTGTACAAAAGTGCTGTAATTGTGCGTTAGGCCGGGAACTGGCAGAGAACGAGATGCCCCGCCCACTTCTTGCATAAATTACTCTGTAGAGCTCTCTGCACCCCCTACTCCCTTTCACCTTTTGTATTTAATTTTAAAGTCAGTGTACTACAAGAACGCTGGATGCAAGATAGATACTATATTAAAATGTACTGTTATTTAAGATGTAATAAAGCAGTTTGACATGAGTTTATTCCTTGTCATGGTGTCTTATTTAGTCATGTATTTAAATTATCAGGTATTACTCATATTTACTCCCCTAACCTCTCAGTAAAGCATGTCCCGGCATTATTTATTTGTAGCAAGAAATATCCTTTACCATTCCCTGTAATGTCCTCACAAGTTTTTCTAGGAGTTTGGATCTTCTGAACATAGGCACAGTCCAGAGCTACATCTCCCAAGAGCCCTTTTCCTACATACCGTATA